CTCTAGTATTCTTATGGAGACCGTCATGAAGGCAATACAGCAGATGGCAGGACCTGAGAGGTGCTGAGATTGTCAAACAAAGATAAAGAGCCGAATACCAACCAAACTCTGAGAATGATGGTTGCGCGGACTACCGCAAGACGAACGTAATATGGACCACGCACGTAGATTGGTAGAGTGCAGAGCTATCCAATATAGGAAAACTGTTCGCAAAATCCTGATTGAGTACTAGTGCCGAAGCATACAGGCAATGCTCCGTCACTAAAGCAGCTGCAACATGTATAAAACCAGGCCCCTTAACATCAAAGCCTCCGGTACTCAACTGCTCCTCCATACAGGGATGACGTTGCTTAAGTTTGAGTATGCCCTAAATCTTACATTCCCCCTTATGTAGATAGAATATGGCTTTGGGTATATTATGGTAAGATCCCCAAATACCCCGTATTCTATCTACTTAAGTATTCAGGGGGACTATAGGTCGATACGATGCCGTTCCACATACCAGGGAAGGCTTGGGATCAGATGATGGAGTCTAGATTTGCCAGGGCTAAAAGCCAACACGAAAACATGACTTGCCAGTCCCTAAAGCCTGATAAAAAAAAAGAAAAAAAACTGGTTGAAGCCCTAAACCCTAACCCACCCTGCTTGAATCTCAGACTTGTATACAGATAATGCTGGATTCGCACCTCAAGCTCAAAGCCGTCTGATTCTGGTTCTCTCTCAGCCCATATGGTAGTTTCCCTAGTAGTAGACTTCCCCACCACCCCCAGTATCTGAAATACTCCCAGTATACTAGAACATACCACAATGGGGAGTATTTAATAACTATGAGAGGGGGGGTGGGGTGGGGGTTTTATGCTGAGGGTAGACAGTAGAGGGTAAGGGTGCTAGCATCTGACCTCCCTGACTCTCCCAACAACTTGGCTCTGCAAAATCGAAAATGGCTGGAGTTGCAGAAGGAAGCACAGTTACATAGAAGTACTCTAATCCTTAACATGAGGACCCCCTATGTTTTAAACGTACCCTGAATCGCCCTAAACCCTCTATCCCCTGATTATAACCGCCTGGAATCCCTTTTTGAAGAACCACTAATTTTGGACCCCCCCCCCCTAATTTTGGACCCCACCCCCCGTGTTCCAACCTGCAAGGATCAAGAAATAGCAGCGAGCAGGGGTTCTCTCTGAATGCCTCAAGCACACGACAGCCTGGGGCCCCAAAAGTGAGTACCTAAACTCCAAAAGTATGTAGAATAATGCCTTTTGGGCTATTTTAAGGGGTTTTGGGCTATTCTTTTAGTTTGGGGTCCAGGTAACATTGTGGCCCAAGTTTAAGGGTTTAGGATGTAGGATTTAGGGTTTAGGAAAATGGCAATTGTTCTTTGGGGGTGCGGGACTTCATGGGTTCCGGCTTGGGGGTGTGGGCTCTGGTCATGATGAGGACGTCAATCCTCACGAAAGGCACAACCACCAACGGGAGCAGCTCAATGGAAGGTCCCGTAACTTTGGGCGCTACAACTCTGGGAGCTATCTTTGTACCCTTCAGGTCTGTACCCCTGGGTTCGGTTCCCTAAACCATGGAATATACTTCAACTCTGAATTGGGGAGTTTTTGGGACCCCAAACCCACGGGTACAACCTTAAAGTCTTTGATCCACACGTACGCACAAAAGCACAGCATAAGATAGTGTCTCACTGCCTGTTGTACAGCGGGCATGCGAGGAAGCAATAAATGTCTTAAATGTTCCCCTGCTGCCCCAAACGACGGAGGACCGAAAACACCATAGACTCTTGCCCTTCCGCGAGCAGGTTTCATGTGGACACTTCCCCAAAAAATTAGGAAGCGCTTTTTTTTTATCGGGAGTTTTGCAATTAAGGTTAATATTGTGCCTAGCCATGAAACCCACCCATTTTGCTTTAGGGCAGCGTGCGACTTCAGCTGACGACGCCTGATTCTACACAAGGCTCAATGAAGTGCGCCCCATTTCTATGGCAGATTTGAGGGCCCTTAAAAAATGCTCTTATGGCTTCATACGAGTTAATTGCATAGGAAATAAGAATAACAAATATCAAGAACTACTTTCAAGCCTATCCCTGATGTGCTACAATGTCCAATAGCCGCAGGGACTCGGGGCCTCCGTCCGGTGAGGTGAGGGCACACACACCCTCACCCTACCTAGACCTCCATACTTTTTAAGGTACCTAATTTCGTATATAGAACAGACTATGACTAATACTTTTAAGGTACCTAATTTCGTATATAGAACAGCCTATGACTAATATACAACAGACTACGCCTAGGCATGAAGGTAGATTTCCTAAGAGGGGGAGGCTAATTAGATGTAGGGGTCTAGGTAGGGCTCCATGTAATTTGATGTAGGTACTTTCCCAAAATAGGGGGACCCCAATATAGACCCCAAAATACTATAATCCTTATTATAGGGACCCCCAAAATGGTAACCCTAATTTTAGGAAACCCCCATTTATAGACTTGGAACCCTAGTCTTATGTTGCAGCACGCATGTACTGCCCCTCCCAAATCAGCCCAGCAAAAACCTCTTGATATATTGCGCAGATGCTTTCAGGCTACACAAAGGGTTTATCTGGGGGTGGGGAGGGGGCCTAAGACCAAAGCTCTGACCTCTTCACGGTGGAACGTTCAATGCAGAATGCGAGACCGCAACCACGCAACCTGCAAAGGCGTTGACATCCGGACATCTTAAACAGTGACTTTGTTGGGCACTGTACGTCTTGATATAGCCTGAATCCCAACCCAAGCTCAACGTGCGAACTCTAATGCAGGGCTCTGGCTCCTACGACTAAGCTCTTCCTGAGAAGCCTCTGAACTGAGTCTGGGGCGGCACAGCGCGGAATTCTGCGACAGGAGCGGGAACTTTGCCACACCTTCGCTGACAACAACTTCCATCCACAAGCTGAGGGTGCAAGGCCCACAAACTAGCCAGAAACATTTGTTTGAGTCTTGTGTCCCTATAAAAATCCCTATGCAACCCCACATATACCCCTATAAAGGTACCAACATTATCCTACATTCACTCCCCCACTCCCCCTTAAGCAGCAGCACCAAAAGGTTGTTGGCTTCCTGGAGTTTGGCGACCTGTGCTCTGCAAGACCATAGGTGCTCAGGAATGCCATGACGAAGGTCTGTGTTAGGGGGAGGGGCTGTAGCTGGAGCAATGTGGAGGTTTCCTGAAACAGGAGACTCCTGTTGAACGACCCTAGAGAGTATGCGGATGATGAAGGAGAATTGTGCGTGTCTTCTTTCCGGGAATATGTTGCGTGTAGACAAAGTGTCAAAAATGTGCGAGCCTCAATCAGCATGTGCTTGGAAAAACGCATGCCCTGGTCTAAGACATGCCTACGGATGCCCTGTACATGCTTCAACTGAGATAAGCCGAAGAGTCCGAAAAGAAATGGAACTGAACATCTTTAGACACCCTCATCGCCCTGTAGCGTGAAGTCTGTCAACTGCCACATGCGCAGCCGTGGGCGGCCCTTTTTCCGCAGCGGCAGCGAACATTCGTCGAAGTCTTTTAAGGCCAACTAAGTGACTCTATGCAGCCCAAACCTTAGGCAGAAAAAAAATGTTCCAAAATGAGCAATCTCAACCTACGCCATAAACCCTGAACCCTAAACCCTATCCTTACCTAAGAAGATCTGATTCCCCCAACTATGCAAACCCGAGTAGTTGGCGGCCCATCACTTCTCGGAAATCCATGGTAAGGTAAGCGACCTGTGCATCCAGCAGGGACCAACCCTCGCTGGAGGTTACTGGGCGAAAGGCTTCAAAAACATGATCGCACATTGATTTTCGATTGTTCGCACAGATTTGACCAGTATCATCATTATCATCACCACCAGCACCATCATCATCATCATCATCATCATCGTCATCATCATCATTAGCGGATTGTTGCTGTATACCTCCCTTCTGCAACTGGACTGCAAGTGCTTTTGCCTTTAAGTGCCCAATGCGTGGATGCTTGAACACTTACACTAGAGCTCATATGACTAGCCCTAGGGGTCCATACAGGCCATTGCTTGTATGCTCGGATCCTTAGGCTAATACTGGGCATTGGAGAACATGGCAAAGACTTTTCCGCAGCAAGGGCTTCACCAGGTCTACTCATCTGGCAGCGAGCGCAATATCATGTTCTGCTGCGGCTACTTGACCGGTAAAGTCCGTTGTTGCAGGGAAGTCTGCGTTTACTTTTGCAATGGAATTAGCATTGGAGTGCCTCGGAGCGCATAAAGCTTGAAGCAAAACACCTAGGATGCAGAAATATTCAGAATGTGCATCCCATCTTCCATGGAGACTGCGTAAGTATACCTGAATCAGTCGCATAGGCTCCCCAAACAACACTACGCAACAAAACCTACTAAACTCCACGGCCTGCTCGTTAACCCGCAAGTACATGCTGTAATGCCTGCAAAAACTCCCACTGTCCACCACTGAACTCGAATAGCTTCTGCTCGAGAGCTCTTCTTTTCTGCTAGGGACTTAGGGTTTACAGTATGGCCAGGGTTTATGTAAACCTCTCACCCAGAGGTTTATCCAAGCTGAAGAGTCTTCAAAGCTTCCTTTCCAATCTCTTCATTGCCCCCACTCAGTCACAAGCCGAGACCCTGACAAGTAACTTTGGCAGCTACGTAAGCATGTAGATGCTAAAGGTACAACCAGATAATGTGTGGACAGAAAATTGAAATAAGGTTGGGGGTCGGTATGCTGTATATATGGTGACGTGAAACAAACTTCCCCAGTCTTCAGACATCTCCATAGAAACTGCTGTGATGCACCTTCCTATTCTGTTTCAATCCCCTCCCCAGAATACTCCCCTCGGCACCCCGTGGTAATACCCCCCCCCCCCGCCCACGCTATAGCATCATTGTATAGTTTTGGTGTGGGTGCACCCTAAACCCTAAACCCCAAACCCTAAACCCTACACCTTAAACTCTGTAAGGGGAGGTGATGGATCTGGCCTAGCCTTCAAGCCGCCTTCTTTGCGCCGGCCACCGCTTGCGCAGCCTCCAGGAACTGAGAGTCGGTTTTTTGGATCTAGAAAAACGTTATATTGGGGTAATAATGGGTTATATTGGGTAATGTTGGGTTATATTGGGGTAATGTTGGGCTATATTGGGGTAATATTGGGGTAATGTTGGGTTGTATTGGGGTAATGTTGGGCTATATTGGGGTAATGTTGGGCTATATTGGGGTAATATTGGGCTATATTGGGGTAATATTGGGTTAGAATGGGGCAGTATTGGGTTATATTGGGGTAATGTT